AGTCTAACAGCCGACGTACGCGTACATTTATTCTCGATAACACTGACACTACGGATTCAACAGGTACGTGTACAAGACTGCAGGAACCAATGCTATGAATTTGCGCTGGAGAGTAGTGATTGAGAAAAACAGATAGTTGCAAGCGGAACGTTGCTTGAGAAAAAAGATGTTCCCATTTGAATTTTGCCACGCTTTTTCTTTGTTTCAATCAGCTTTTTCACTACACACATACATCAATAATGGTATCAAAATGGATATTGACTCCAAAACTTCATATATTTAACGATTTAAATGTCCTTCGCGTTCGTTTACATATTTATTAGTATTTTTATCACAGTATTAATCACTATTATCAACTTCCTTATGGGGACTCGGGAGAGCTAACGTAACCGTATTTGGACAGCCTTTTAGGTGAATGGTCTATATATTTACGCTTCACTCTTTGATTATAGGTCAGGAAGCCGACGAACCCACATGTTATGCAGATTTTCCTCGTTTTGTTACGAATTAAAATACGATTTCTGAAAAAAAATCAAATCATCCAAGTCGACACTGTGTCAAAGAACTAATCAAGCCCATCCGTTTCTATTTCTCGAAGCTAACGTGAGACTACTGTTACATGTGTCTTCGCGTTCGAGACCATTATTCCAAGCTCTATCATTTGGACGACAAAAAATCGAGTGGACGGCAGTTCAGGGATAGAATAAATTGCTTGATTTGGGTAATCGAAGTTTAAACCAAGTTAAAACCAATGGAATAAGATCATATACTTTGATCAACTGATTATTTTAAAATCTTACCCAGGTTTTCTCTATCTTTGATTACTGAAAAATTGATAGTTTGAGATTATCCACTTAGATTATCGTTCAACGTGGGGAGAATCCTTACCCACATAACCTCTTTGAAGAAAAGAAAATTCGCGCATCTTTGTTTTTATGTGGAAAGCACCTACTCTCCTTATGCTCTCCATATCTCTCTATCACATAGGCATAAAACAAATTTACCTGACTGTAGGATGAGAGACAAGAAATTTGATGGGAGACACTAAAGGCTTTTTCCTACGTTGAATTTGTGGTAAGTGGCCCCTGCGGATTTGGATTATCCCTGCCTGGTGGAATCCGAAGACTCCTCTGTTATTATAGGGGGACACGGGGGATCCTGGAAGTTGCCTGCTTAGCTTTGCATGTCGATGGAAATATCTACCATGAACGACGTCAAACAATACCGTAAATTAGTTTTCGAGTTAAACGAACAAATTAGAACGAATGGGTCGCCACAAATCCTTCTGAGGTGAAGACTTAGAAGATGGAAGAGACTCGAGTATGAAGTTCGGTGACTTCCTGCCTAAAATGCTTCAAATGGAGCTCAGAATGATCAATAACGACGTTGAATAGATCTGTCTCAAAAAAGACCACATTTTTCTTCCTCGAGAAGGTTAAATTACTTTTCGGGGGAATCGTACACAAAGGAACCGGGTTCAAGGGGGACAATGGAAGATATCTTTGAACATGGGTGCATGCACTCTCGGAATCCATTGCAAAGATGGGGCATCTCTACTCCGTCGTCATCGGATGAGGGCTACAGATAGTACAAATCTCCCTCGTCTACCCCGCGGATTCACTCCAAAATGTAGTGTTTTCTCAAAAATCATCTCTTTTTCTTCAGCTGCTCCAGAAAAATTGTGATACGTTCATGCCGGTCGTTGACACCCAAATGGCTCACTCACCCATACTCTGTTATTTACGTCATATGCACCAAACATCTATGGTGCCCGGGGGGTGATAGCTAAAGCGAACCTGAAGAGGGTATCCATATGGAACGGTGGATCATAAGAGACGCTTCATACTTTTCCACTGATTGATATGCTTTCTTTGGGTAATCAACTTGCCCACCTCCGCACCCACCTTTTGTGTTGACAAGCCCCTTTTTGGATGAGAACCACCATTTCATGCGCTTGCATCATTCTTGGTCGCAGTAGTGGACACGATTCATATGAAAGACAAAGAAAATGGAAACAAAAAGAAGTAAATTGGAAGAAAAAGGCTTGACGAGGAGAGGAGAGGAGATGATTAGTGTGCTAGCCAGCCATTGTAAAAGAATTGGATTAGATGGAAGGGGTCCTTCTAACTTGATAAAGCCGCTTGCCAGAGTGTGATAGATGGAGGCTGAGGCTTTGGAGCTGTCAAAGCTAAAGAAACTGCATAAACAGGAGGAAATCCGAAAAGGATCAAAGGATAGAGAGGCTTTTTCTAATAATTTTATCAGATATGCATAAACAATGGACGTGAAAGAGATGTAGCATATTGTCTTTTAACAAAAGGCAGACACCCGCTGAAAAACCCTAATGATTCGAGGAGGTTGTGGGGGATTCTTCCATCTGGGCATCTGGGTCGTTGGGCTATCTTTTTTAGCCTCACCCGAGACCTTTCTTTCTCTCTTAGCTTTATCGGAAAGCTCTAGTGATACCCACAGAGCAGGCCATGTGCTGCTGATAGGAATGCGAAAGAGAGGAAATGGTACAGAGAAATAGAAAAGTCAAAACTATCGAATCTCTGATATATGCCACCTATCTCTTTTCAAAAGGAGGGCACACTATCTCACCACTACCGCCATCTGTTACTTCTGGTTCACTTCAGAACACGAGAGGAAAGTTGGAGGAATTGGAAGGGGGACAAGTGGTTGAAGAAGACCTACTGAACTTGTGGAACATCAGGATGGAGTTTTACTTGACCTTTTCCCGGCTGCTACGCCTAAAGATGGCGAAAGACGACCTCCGGATGCCCTTGTGTTCTCATAGGATCTAAGAGCACAGATCATAAATATGTTTTCTTCCGATAGCCCACCTTGATTACCAGGAAGTCTGTCTCGGGTACAGCTTGTTGCTTCTCGAAGACTTAGATGGCTGAGTTGAATTCACCTACCCAAGGAGCTTCGTTTTTTCGGCTCTTGTTTCGCTCAATTCTTTGTTTTGTCTCTCTATCTTGTTAGGAATAATTTCATCTGTGTTGGGCTCGCACTTGCTTCAGAGATTTTTTGTTTTCTTTAACTGGGACCCATTGAAAACGGAAGGACCTTTTGTGCTTTGCTCCTCTCAACCATGACAAAGATTTGGAACCGAGAGTATTTATTCAATGTAAACCTTCTGGTTGGCTAATTTTTATAAAGAAAAAATCCTCAACTTGTTAATGAATATTTAGATCACCGCATTCGCCATTAATGTATAACCTTCCTCCACTCTGAACGTCACTGCTGGCACAATTGTTTTCCATAGGATTTATATTTATTACTGGCTTTGGGACACCCGGTGGTGGGAATTCCTTGAGAGTGAACTAAAATGTATGCTGTTCATCAAGAAAGCGTAGGATAGCTCTTACACCATGAAGCATTGCCATTGTTACACGAGTTACCCTTTTTATCTCCTCTGGGATAACTATCCGTACATGAGATAAGGTTTAGCTTTTCAAGTAGGCTGGACATGATAAATTTAAGATGACACTGATCCCATTCACCCAGCCACCATGTGGTCAGTGTTCTATTTTTGTTGCTCTCATAAATGTTTTGCAGACTTGGTAAAACGGATCCGTGAGGGAAAGAAAATAGCTCATAGACCAAGTGAAGAACTCGAATGTACTCTTCGATCCATACAGCCATCATCCTCATTCTGCAGTGAACATCATCGTCAGTGTTAAATTATCTTCACTCTTATTGAAATATCTAATGCTCAAGGGTACTGTGGGACTCGTGTCAGGCTAATCCCTGCATGCTGGTTTGATAACCAGTTACGATTAACCAACCAGGTTAACCTAGTCATTCGACCCTTTTGGTCGAATAAGGTTAATTTATCCAAGTTTATTCCCAGCCAAGCCTCATGTTACTCGCAAGGTTATCAAACTAGAATGGCTGAGTTATCTAGGATAAACTTGTATAAACAGGCCCATTTCAATTCTGACCGTTTATCGACCGCTACTAACGTAGAGCATATTCCAACAAGGGTCGGTTAACGTACCTAGCCAAGACAACAATCACTTGCCCTGCAATCATTTCAGGGCTCTCTCTCTCCCTCTTCCTTCTGGGTATTATGCGGCAGGCCCAGGATGGAGCGAGATGAGCTCCCCTGCAAGTTTGATTTTAAAACAGCCCAGGCCTGCCGAAATTCTGGCTAGTCCATTCCAAGAGAAATGAACCACCCAATGAGTAATCTTTATCCAGATTTGGTGTGTTCCCCCAGATTAGGATCAGCACATTTATACTATTGAGTATGGAGAAAAGTACTATATTACTCTCTCTTTTTTAACCAATAAGAAACGAACATCGTGAACACCCATGAGATTTTATTACAGATTATCTATTTCCGGGGTATTTATAAAACATCTAATTTATATCTGTTGGAGTACAGACAGGGTGGACAATGTAAGATAAGGTGGGACTTTGGAGAACCGAAGGTGACTGTTGCCAATGGAGAACTCCCTTAGATGGCCCCCTCTCATTCTACATGAGAACTGAAGTGGAGTTGGGGTAAGCCAGCCTCGAGACACTCTTTTTCTCCTATCTTTCTCCCTCCACATCACCCTCTCTCTGTCTCTCTCTCCCTCTTTCTCTCGCCCTCTCTCTCATGCCTCTTAGTTGTCTACGTTGTGTTTTCTACTCACTTGATTCTAATACGTCTGACATGTGTAATCGGCATCGTGAGACATTATGTTAGTTATTAGCGATTTATCTTGATGAGAAATTCCGAGTAAAATGGGATATGGAATCTGTATTAAAGACTTCTATCTTTCTCGACGTGATTCCATTTAAGGTATGCTGTTGCATGATATACCACAACTGTCAATTCTGATATCTTCGAGACCCAATTAACTTTCGTGATCCATTGGATGCGAGTGACCCGAGAGAAACTTCATTCGAAACCATTATTAACCAGTAGAGATACTTCAAATTGAAGGTCAATGAAATATCGTGCCATTTTACGAGCAGCCCTTCGAAGCTATTCCTTGCTCTTGTCATGGCAACAATGACGGGAGGAGAGAGATGCCGTTCTCGCAGTGGGTACATAGGAAAAAAGGTGGAACGCTCTTGCCGTCACCTATCCCGACGCAGCGCGTGTGCTGCCAGACATTGCAGAAGTCGCAGTTGAGCATCCGTTCGCCGTCGTCCTCCTTCACGCCACAAGCGCAGTTGACAAGCCCGTCAATGCCGTTCCCGCCCTCGTACATATCTTGTCCACCGTCTCCTTCAACTATCAACCCACTGACGACCACGCGGCTTCCCGACTCGATCGTCCCCAAGATTAACTCCGAGTCGCCGCAAGCAACATCAACGATTGACTCTGAAGTGAAGGTCTTCAGACCCAGGTAGATCTCCTTGAATGTCCTCTCTGCGGTGGTCTTAATATCTCCTAGGGTCGCATGCCCCGGAAAAGTCAACACCTCGTAGGGCGTCACTGGTTGACTCAGTTCTTCTTGTTCTCCTCGGTTCCTCACACAGACTGTGCACAGCAGCTTGATGGTGCTGTTTGCCATCACCGCGTTCTCCCATGTTATCTCCTTCCGATAATCTTTCAAGAGATGCTTGGTGTCTAGGATATATCTCACCGCTGTCGGGATGACGGTGAAGATCCCGGCTGCGGGCCTAAGATTTTGGCCGAGGAGGATGCACTTGTACAGGTAGATGAGGTCCTTCCTCACTTGCACTCTCGTCGTTTGCATCCTCATTCTAACGTTCACGGTGTCCCCCGAGCTGCTGCGGCTGCAGTGGCTGGGGTTCCCCCCTGGAACGTCCTCCAAACAGTACTCGAGGATCTTCGTAACCGGGTTGACCATTCGGCGGACGACATAGTTGCCGACAACGTGGTTGCCAAGGGACTTGAGGACGAAGTCAAGAAGGCCAGTGTCGCCGACATAGGCCCTGGCCGCGTCCCTCACGTCTTGCCTGGAGACCCACTTGAAGTTGGCCCTCTTGAGGGCGTCGACGATCACCTGAGCCGCCATCTCTAGTCTCTTTGTTGACCACCTGCAGGCAGGCTCCATGGTGATCCTGTGGTAGTCGACAGTGGTGAAGGCGTCTGGCGGGAGGCGATCCTTCAGCTCCATCATGAACATGAACAGCTGGCCGAGAGAGACGAGGGAGTGGCCCGCGATAGCCTGATACTTGGCGATGATGGCCGGGAGTTCTCGGCTAGTGGTCCCGTACTGGGGGACGAGTAGACACAGCGGCAGGCATCTTAGTGCTTCAATGGATCGCTGATACATCTGCAGGGTGACTCCGTAGCTCTCTCGGCCGAATCTGTAGCCCCATCGTGCGAACCAGGGTTCGCCGTAGGCCACAGCGTGGACCAGCCTAAGTTCCATGCCCCTCTTCCTCGCAGTGTCAGTCAAACTCACCTTTCTTACAGATGCAACCAAGAACTCGTTAGCGCGAAATTAATCAATAAATCAAATTTTATTTTAGTACGAAAACTCATATTATCAGAATATCGAATACGAGTAATATCGTTTCTAGTGGGATCATAGTAAACAAAGGACACATACAATCTACTGACGAGAGGAGCATGCAGGAAGGTGTCCTTGTAATAATCAAGAATATAATCCATTATTACGTAATAGCATGGCTTAGTGCAAGCACGATATTCAAAAAATCAGATCCTGTTATCCCCAGCTAATGGAGAGATGACGAGAGAGAGAGAGAGAGAGAGAGAGAGAGAGATAACCTTATTCCAAGACCGGTGCACATACGGTCCCACAAGTCTAGTATTTGATGGCCAGAGAGGACCTCCGACCCTGCCTCAAAGCCGTTTACAGCGAGCAGGTGCCCAAAGCCATTGGAATGCACGACGCCGTGCATCAGTTCTCCTCTCACGCTCATTAACCTGGATTCTCTCACAGCCGCCAAGAGACTCGTCTCTCTTACTTCACAATTTGGCCCATTTGATCTCCCCAATGTCTTCTTCGAAGGCAACACAAAATGGTACCTCTTGTTGCACACCATGTGACGGCCCCAACCTGCGAAACCCTAATGTCCACACTTCAGAAAATATTTACGAGCATCCCTTTTTACGCTCTTCCGAGGATGTTATGACAGAGTTCTCGTGGTTTTCCATACAGACAGAGAGACAGACAGCTAGATAGATAGAAAGAGAGAGAGAGAGAGAGAGAGAGAGAGAGAGAGAGAGAGAGAGAGAGAGAGAGAGAGAGAGAGAGAGAGAGAGAGAGAGAGAGAGAGAGAGAGAGAGAGAGGGAGGGAGAGTAATATGAAGAGAATATTACCAATGGATGTGCAGTGATGACAGCGAAGCGAATCGGACATCTCGACTTGCTCCTCCACGACAAATAGTGATATGCAGGCCGGAGGGTTCCTGTGGACTTCGAGCTGGAAAGTCCAGCAATCTGTACCAGGTCCATTCCATCCCTCCGCTCGGCATCCGAACTCGAGAAGAGACGATACGTTCTCTCGGAAAGAAGATCCCTTGAAGTTCACCGGGTGGCCGGGATCGCAAAACGTCTTTAAACGGAGGATCCTGTCGCCCCTCATCCTCTTCCTCGAGGTCCCATTGGCGGTGTGCATCATGAAGGTATCTCTCAGAATCCGTGGACTCACAGAGGGGTTTCCCAAACTTCGAACGGAGGCCATAAATGAAAGAGGCTGGGACTTATCACACGATTAGCGCCTGGAAGTAAACTTCTCAGAAACCAAGCAGGCGTTCCCTTTTGATATGCGAGGATGGAAGGCCTTGCCTTGTGCATGATCTCCTCGGGCATTTCTTATCTATAAGGATAGATGGGCCTCTATCAGACGGAGACGGCTCCCTGATTAAGAAATTGCGCCACGCTTTCGTTCTTGAGCACGGCCAACTGCACTCTCTGTAACTTAGGGACCGGGGGGAGCATTAGGTCTTAATCTACAGGAAGACTAGCTGAATGGGCGGGAGCATGATCTCCTCGGCACCCCACAAAGCCAGCATCTCCAACCAGGGAGATGGAGTAGGTAGATGGAAGGAGGATTGTGATGTAGAAAGTGATAGTGAGGAGAATTTCAGATGGAGCTCCGAAAAGAATTGGTGAGGAAGAATGCTTTAGTTGACCACGATTCTGAAGAATATTTTCATGCTATATTACAGTGTGATTATGAAAATGAGTACTTTACTTGTCGCCAATTAGTCTTGAGATTAACAACAGGTTGCTGCCGTTTACTTGTCGCCAATTAGTCTTGGTGCTCTTTGAGATTAACTTCACTTATATTGTTCTCATGAAAAATTCAAAAAGTCACCTTGTATATGAGACGTGTTAAAAATAGCCATGCATTAACCATTAAAAAAATAAACAAAAAGACCTAGCTATCAGTATGGCCTCCCTTTGCTCATTCTTAATTGCTTTTAGGTCTGATGGCTCAATAACTTTCGTACACACATGAATCCAAATTATCTATATTTCCAAATTCTTCATATATACTATCCAAACATCATTAAACAACAAATTTAATTACACTTTATATTTAAAAGCTTGTTTCATTAAATTTTATGTCAAGATAGGCACACCCTTCATAGCCACTTCCGTAGCTTAGATGGATAATAAGAGATATGAAGGCTACTTTGAACTTACCAATTGTGTGTGGCTTGATTATGACGTTTTGGTCAGTCCAAATTTAAAGAAAGGTCTAATAGCCTCCTACTTAAGAAGGTACTAAGGGGGCTGTTGACTTTGGGGTTACTTGTGTTGGAGATGTGGAGAATGTTCTAATGTGTTTTTTCTAACCCCTTTTGTGATATACAGGGAGGGCAGCCATTGCCTTTTGTGTGCGTCCTGTTGTAAAACGATTCTCTTACTTCGGAAGGAAGAACAAGTGAGTTATGCAACCGTGGGCGTAAGAAGATTCTCCAAACCACAGGAAGAATTTGATGTTTCTTATCTCTCACCTCCTCTATCTCTCACTAGGGTTTGCATTAATTTCTGGTGATCAAGAAGGCGACGCTTGTCCCCAATAACTTGATGTTAGGAAACTGTTAACTGGTTATTAGAAGACTTTGTGGGCAGTGCCGATTATATGTGGGAGGCAGATGACTGGAGATCCTTCCTAGAGCTGATCTCCTTCTCCTTGTAATTCTTCAACAAGAGAAATATTGGGACGCCTACTTAGAGCTGAGCTCTGAAATAAGTTTTTTCTTCTATTTTTTAGGTAGTTTAATTCACCTTGATTCAAAATAAAAAATAAAAATATATTTGCATTTTTACTATGATCGGTAAAACCTTTGAACTAACTTTCTATGTGTATCTAGCACAGCCATCATGAGTTAACAAAATTGACGGTAAACAACATAAAAGTATATCAATAATGGGCTCCCCAAGCTTCTACATACAGAGAAGGCCATACCTTCTCTTACTGGTGGACATGGGGATAAGAGCCCAATGCTACTTCACTGCAAACTCAAACTCTAGTGCTGCCCTCTAGGCGGTGCTCTCTGCGAGGCTTCTGCCACAAATAATAATTTTGATATGACAGATACTGAGGGTCTTGCTTGATGATTCGAAGATACAAGGATGAATGGCTTCACTCGTTCAGCCGATCCAGACCCATCTGATCTCCCCATCCCACAGTTACATTACGGACTTGTATTGCTCCTCACTGGAGCGATACATTTCGCCAAGACAAGATTTGCCTTGGGAAATCTGGCTGATCTTGCGGCATTCGTCATCGTTGATCTCCCAGTCGAGAGCTTGGTGGTGATGAAAAGCTCATCCCTTGACTCCATTTGTCCGTGGTTCAGGGCTTGGGCAATCGCTTCGCCGAAAGGCTTCTCGGAGAGATAGAAGACTGCGGTGTCGAAGTATCTGCAGCCGAGACGAATGACGCTGAGGATTTCTTCCCTCATGGCATCGGATTACTTGTACGGGTAGGCGGCGGTCCCCTTGCCGTTGAGGGGGATCAACTGGAAGCTCGATCCAAAGGTGACGACCGGCACTCTTCGCATGTCCACAAGAGCTTTGAGCAGAAGACTTCCCCGATGAACTCCATTATCTCTCTCTCTTCCTCTCTCTCTCTCAACGGCATGGATGCTCCCCATGAATACCATCATTTGATCATGTCAGACGAGTAAGCAAGCGGAGGAATTGGTAGGATTTCGTGTGGCAAGGCGGCATCGTATCACTTGGCAAGCAAACTCGAAGAGCTGTAAAATGAAAATAACGATGTAAATATCGTATATAGTAAGTAGTACGACTCACAAAGTTATCTTTCTATCTTAGACCACATTTTTCGGGAAACAACTCGTACAGACGATCATAAGCCCTCAAACCACGATGCCAAGATTACCAGGTTAATGAGCAAAGCTTTTCATAGTGGGGAAAGGGAGGAAACTGAGGGCGGAGTTGATCAGCATGGCCTCCATGGTGACGACGCCTAGGGTGGAGACACTCTCCCCAAGAACGGTGGACGAAGAGCTTCAGGGGTGGCTAATACCACTTATGGACAGCCCTTCCCGGAGGGACACCGTCCGTTGACCAAATAGCTCTGTTATTGACATCAGCCGCCGTGATGTTATCAACCCAAGGAATGCCAATCATTCACCCAGCTGAATTTAATCTCTGTTGCATCGTCGTTGCATGATGACTCCTTTCAGCCCATCTCTCTCTCTCTCTCTTACTTATGTAAACCCTATTAGAGCCTAAGGATCCTTGCACTAAATCATCGTCGTCTGTGTTCAGAAGTGGGACAGAAAGAGAATGGGGGCCAAAGGAAATGAACGAGTGATCATATAAACATCTGCCAGCGTAACTGGATCAACTGGGACAGACAGAGCTTCTGGGTTTCAGCTTTCACCAGCAACCTCCCTAAGCTTGCTTGCATCTCCAAGAACAAACGACTTCTGCCTTGCACATATAACATCTGTTGATCGAGCAGGCCAGAGCCCCCAAAGCCCATGCCAAATCTGCAACGCTCTTCCAGGTGGCATCGAGTCCGCAGGTGGGGATGAAGGGGGGGGGTTCGAGGAGGGAGCTCGCACTATATATGCTTAAGGAGCTTCAACGGTTGCTGCTGACAGATGTCCAGCCAGGAGCCCTCGTGAGGCGAATCTGTGCAGGAGGCTATGAGTCCAAGACGAACAATTCATGTGGAATATAATTTACGGAATTAAGTGATCCCACCAGCGCAAAGGCATAGATTGCGCGGAGAATTCTCGCATAGTCGGTACCAAGCATTTGGATCACCACATCGGCCAGGAACGTCCCCCACAGCCTGGAGATGGGCGGCTGATTATATTAGCCAAGGAAATAGCCATTTATTTAAAATTTATGGCACAGGCTAATCAGATAAGAATGAAAATATAATGGTTGGGAAAGCATGATGAAATGATCTTTAAATCAACGAAAATGAGGGGTACAGATGAAGAATAATTTACGGTAAGATAATCGGAGAAAAATATAAAGATTAATGAAATGGAAGCATACAGCGGTCCAAGCAGCATCACTGCACTCCTGAAGCCAAGGTACCGCGAGGCTGCACGGGCAAGACCCTAGGTGCATGGACATTAGTCAGTGAGGATTGATATTTGCCACATCTCCGGTAATCGAATAAAAAGTAGAAATAGATTGACTTATGTGTGTGCGAATGTATATATATATATATATATATATAGATACATACAAGAAAGGCAAAGGGAACTGGATAATGACCTGTCTTGCCGCAAGTAGTCCTACTCTGGACTCCAAGTTGACGGCTGCAAACTGCCCTCCCTGCCCAGTGAAGAGGGGCAATAGTATGCGTAACCAGGTCAAGTCCTTTGTTCAGTTTGAAATAATGTATTGCGAGGAGGAGACAAATAATTAATGGACAAAACCTGAATGCAACCTAATTTACCCATTGATGTGAAGATGCTGCATACGCTAGTTTTCAGATATCAGAATGCACGGTTAGTCAATCGTGGATGGTTCACTGATCCATTATTACCTATGAGTTTCAATTATAACTAGAATTTGATTTGAAAGATTTGAAATCATCAAACACAATGCTTGGAGCATAGTTGTAAATAGGCCTCGGGTCATCATCAATGACTAATAAGCAGCTACATAAGGATTGTCATGGCATGATACTACTGAAAATAATATTCATTGAAGTTTAATGGAATCATCTAAATTTGGAGAACGAACCCATCATGCAGACAAACAACCATACATACCCGTTTAATAACTTCATTCCTTATCTGATAGTTGGCAGCTTCCACCAGCATACTTCCAGATAGCCTCCTTGCTAACTAGGCATGAAAGCCATGTCAAACTGTCACACTCAGGGAGTACAAGATAAATAAGACAGGACTTGTGGATAAACTGCATACCCACTGATAAAGCTTCCCCAAAGTGAAGATGCCACCACCCTATTGAAAGGTTCTGAAGGCTCAGTAATTCCTAAAACAGGTAGAAATGTATTTTGTTTAGGAAACTAATATTCAGAGTCCAACCAAACCTTTAGAGCCACTTGTTGGAATTCCTTTGCTCCAACTTTGACTGCACCAAGAAAATCAACCTTCCACTTGCTTAGTCCAACCTCAAGTTTCCCTTGATTACTAGAAATTCCAATACCTTCCGGGCTGTATATCAATCAGAGACGAGTGATTTCTTACTCAGAAGACATTTACACAGAAGGAAAATATAGGTTGGTTCCTAGTTGCAACAGTGAAGTTTTATTTGGTATATGGCTAATCAACAATGATTGACGTCATAATATTCATAATCCCGTTTGAATAACTTGAGTTAATGTAGCATCATGGCAACAATAAGTAAATAGGTAAAAAAGAAAATCAAACAAATTAATTTGATTGAAATACAATTACACTCATCAAGAGACGAAATTTAAGATACGGCTGAAACATCAACAATGAAGAAAAATGATAAAACACAGCTTAGTATGGCAAACCATCAATCACAATATGACAGAGCAATCGTATAAACATTTTTTCATCTGATGTGTCAACAGTCATAATAAATTTGTATCTATGCAGCAACCAAGAGAAGGGAATTAAAACTATTGATCAGGATAACCTAGGTTGCGAATCAATAGAGCAAACCCGAATAAAATTGTCTAGAACAACCTGAAGGATATCAGGTATGATATTGAAGAGAAATAGCTATCAAATATGTCTGGCAATTGTTAGAATAAGTGATATTGGGCGTGATAAGCCTAATTACATATTGGTATCGGATCTAGCCGCTTATACCCAGCTTAGATCCAATAGTCAGAACTCATGTGTTAAAAGGGTCACGAACCCTAACTCAAAATGATGAAGTATTTTCTTTTTCTCTCACTCTCTCATGCTCTAATGGTTCCCTTGCTCGTGGCGGCTGTGCCCTATCTCAAGGTGGGAGAATCTTTAACATGGTATCAGAGCATCAGGTGCATACATTCCAAACCTTTTCTTAAGCCATCTAAGCTTACTGCATCGAAAGTCCGCATACATTGAGACCACGAACACTCTATTTTTCTGTTAGCTAGGGTTTGAAGGTTAGCCTGTTTTTGGTTGAGACCACGAACCCTAACTCATGGCAGAAGCCCCTAGTCTATCTCTGGTGCCAGTGAGTGTACCAGAGGAGTACCCTAGGTGGTTTGAACTCCCAAAAATTCTTGACAAATATAGGTTCAATGAATTGAACTTATTACAATGGGAGGAATATGTGGAAATGATTTTACTTGGCCGGAGGAAAATAATCCACCTCAAGAGTGGTAACCCTCATAACCCAACAGATCCATGACACACTACATGGCGAGAGGCAGACGCCATCATTAAAGCGTGGTTGCTAGAAAACATGGTACCATCTATCGGCGACCACTTCTTTCAGATTCCGACAGTGAAAGAGATATGGGAGAAAGCTCACTGTATGCACACGAAGCGGAATGATGAGGGAGAAATCTCATGCTTAACCACTAAACCTATGAACCTTACTCAAGGGAATAGAACGGTGATGGAGTATGCAGCCGAACTAGAAACCATCTAGATGGAAGTCGATCATTATAGACTGAACACCAATCCAAATTCTGTTGAATGAACATACATCTTGAAGGATCGCTTGTATCGGTTCTTATCTGGCTTAAATTCACCTTTTATACAATTGACTGGTCAATTGTTGAACAGGAAAAGAGTTCCTGATTTCGAGGAAGATGTGGGAATTAATAAGAGGGAAGAGAATAGGCTGACACTATTGAACAAAAATCAGCAAGCTGATAACTCAGCATTGGCAGCAAAGAACATAGTGGGAGCATCAGCCAACACTAGTTGTGGCTGGGAAGGGAAGAGCGAGACAAGCTCTTCACATTCCAGCAAAGGAAAACAAGGCCAAAACCCAGAGCAAGTGACAGACCCAAAGGCAAAACTATGGTGCTCATTCTGCTGAAAAAGGAGACATACTCATAACAATTTCTGGAAATTGCATGGTAAGCCTCCAAGAGTAGGACAGGGGTACATGAGTGTAACCCCTTCCCTTACATATTGGCAAGAAATTGGCTCTACAAGCTCCACTAAGGGAGAGGTGAACTTGACACCTATCCCTCAACCAGCAAATTCCAAAGATGGGGAAATTGATAAACTCAAAGAGGAGATTGAGAAGTTGTGGCAACTCATCACCTCAAGTATCATAACATCATCAGCAACCTCCTCAGGTAATTTTTCAATCTCTTACACTTCCCTCTCCTTGAGTTTCTATTCTCCCAGTCAAACAAACATATATCTAAAGGATAAAGGTACATGGATCCTTAACTCAAGGGCCACATATCATATGTCTCCACTCAAAAATTATTTCCAAACCTATGAACCATGTTTTAATGGTAGACAAGTATTGACTGCAGATGGGAAACTTATACCAGTAGTTGGTATAGGTTCCGTAGAACTTCCAATAATAGGAAAAATACATCATGTTCTTCATGTGTCTCTATTATTAACAAACCTAATCTCCCTTAGTAAGCTTAGACAATCCATCACTCATGACCTTCTGATTACTCTTAATGACTGTGTCTTATATGATAAGGACATAGGATGAAAGACTAGACTTGCTGAAGAGAAGGAAGATCTATAATACATATGAGGCCTCAACGGAACACAAAAGACACATCCACAAACGGCACAAACGGCGGCGACAACACCAAGGGTAGCATCAAGGGGGAGCCGCAAGTTGATTGAACCACTTATGTTGATCCATCATTGCCTAGGACATCCTTCTATCTTGACTATATCTTGACTATTAAATATTTATTCCCGCAATTGTGTAAGGAACTTGATGACAATAGTTTATTATGTGAGGTATGCCAATTAGCCAAGCATAAACGATCTATTTATTCTCCATCTGACTCAAGATCTCTTTAACCTTTTGACTTGATTCATAGTGATGTGTGGAGCTTCATCTTTAGAAAGGATGGGTGATAAGACCACATCTCAATGAAGTTATCTGCTTCCTTGTGATGAAGGGGAGTCAAATTCACAAAAATTAAGTATAGAATTTTTTTTTGGACAGACTTATACAAGAAGGAAAAATGAACAAATCACACACTACTTCAGTAGATGATTTAACTCATGAGACTAGGCTAGATCTTTCATCAGAACCACAAGAAAATGTAGTAAACTTGTTGGTTCATCAAAACATCAGTAAGAATATTACTTATCTATTGCAAAATTATTTCTCTTTGCATCGTTTATCTACAGCCCACTCTTCATTTTTTACGAAGGTAGGCTCCATACCATTCCATCAACAGTTAATGAAGCTATAAATAATGTAGAATAGAAAAGGGCTATGAAAATAGAAATGAATGCGTTGATGAAAAATAACATATGGGAACTAGTTAAGCTCTCATGGAATAAACGGATTGTTGGGTGTAAATGGATATTTACCATTAAGTATAATCCAAATGGAACGATAGAGAGGTATAAGGCTAAGTTGGTAGCAAAATGATATACCCAGAAATTAGGGATTGATTATGATGAGACCTTCACTCCAATAGCAAAATTAAACACCATGAGGATTTTAATCTCTATGATATCAATGAAAGGATGGCAGCTTCACCAATTAGATGTGAAGAATGTTTTCCTACATGAGTCCTTAAATGAGGAGATATATATGGATATACCTTCAAGTTTTAGGGAAGAGAAAAATCAGCACTTTGTGTGTAGATTAAAGAAGTCTTTATATGGACTTAAACAATCTCTGAGAGCATGGTTTGGCAAGCTCTTAGCCACTATGCATGAGATGGACTACCGCCAAAGTAACAGTGATCATACTCTTTTCTTTAAACATTCTAGAAATGAAATTTCTATTTTATTAGTTTACATTGATGACATGATATTTACTAGAGATGATTTGTTAGAAATAGAAATGTTAAATGATAAATTATCTACATGCTTCAAAATTAAAAGACTAGGAAATTTAAAGTACTTTCTTGGTATGGAAATTGTATATTCTAGGTGTGGTATTTTCTTACCTCAGTTGAAATAGACTTTAGATTTACTTAAAGAAACCGGAACTAGTGGCAGTAAACCGGCAACCACTCTCATTGACCCTGACGGGAAATTGGGTTGAGGTGAAGATAGTCCACCAGTTGATAGAAGAAGATACCAAAGGCTGATTGGTAAACTAATTTATTTATCTCACACTCAACCAGATATTACCTACACAATAGGATTATTGAGTCAATTTATGCATGATCTTAGAGAAGTACATAATGCAGCAGCAAGACGAGTACTTTTTTATTTAAAGGGTACATCAGGTTACGGCCTATTATTTCAACCACATGGGCATACTAATGTAGAAAATATTCACTGATACTAACTATGCAAGTTCTGTTGTAGACAGACGATCTACTTCAGGGTACTATTCATTCTTAGGAGGAAACCTAATCATGTGGTGCGACAAGAAGCAGCCAGTGGTTTCAAGATCTAGTGTAGAGTCTGAACTTCGAGCAATGACACAAGGATTGTGTGAAGTATTATGGATTAAAGGGATTTTGGAAGACCTTAAAATCCAATATGATTCACCCACAAAACTCTTCTGTGACAACAAGTTAACTATAGATATTGCTCACAATCCAATACATCATGATCGGACCAAGCACGTGGAAGTAAATTGCCATTTCATCAAAGAGAAGATAAAGAATGGGATCCTCACTATCCAACATATCAGGTCTGAGGAGCAATGTGCATACATCTTCACCAAAGGATTATATGGACCTACTATGAGAAGATTGTTAGGTAAGTTGGGGATGGAGAATATTCATTCTCCAACTTGAGGGGGAGTGTTAGAATAAGTGATATTGGGTGTGATAAGCCTAATTACTTATTGGTATCGGATCTAGCCACTTATACCCGACATAGATCCAATAGTCAGAACTCATGTATTAAAAGGATCATGAACCCTAACTCAAATTGAATGAAATATTTTTCTTTTTCTCTCACTCTCTCATGCTCTAACGGCTCCCCTACTCGTGGCAGCTATGCCCTAGCTCAAGGTGGGAGAATCTCCGACAACAATCTTTCTACTTCATTCATGTAACTGAATCTCGTCAACGCCATTTTTCAGTCTAAAGTCCATAATTTCCATATACACAAACAATGACACTTCTACCACCACCCATAAGAACCATAGTTTCATGAGCTCAGAGACCATGTACCTTGGAACGACCCATCCAGTTCGACAATGATGGGGAAACTAGAATTCCCACTTGAAACTAAAAGACAAAAGAGTTGAAAAGTTTTTCTAGACTTTGAATAGTTGATCTCAGATGAATTGATCAATTCCATGTCAATTTGTCTAAGATTGGCTGGCTTACGTGACCAGGCCAAGTTTCCCTATCTCATAGTAACAATAATTTACAGAAAAGAAGAACTGAAGGAGATGAAGGAGAGTAACAAGAGGAGAAAAATAATTGAAAGGAGAATGTATTGATACCATCAGAGGAAGAAGAGAACAGAAGAAACAATGACAAAAAAGGGAACCAGAGATGGAAATATACCAACACCATGATAAGGCTCCATGCACATATACTAGAAGGAAGAAGGCCCAAAGCCCAATAAGTCAATAATGCTCAGCATGATTGAGGGAAGGTGCAGTTATGGAAAGGAACAGTTATGGCAAGGAGCAGTTATGGCAAGAGAAATTATGGTAGGAGACTAACTGCCTAAATGAGGGAAGGAAAGGAGAGGATATAAAGACAGGCGGAGCAGGAAGGCAGAGGTGGAAGGAAAATCGGTGATAGTATCTCGTGGATCTATGAGAAGGTTTGGTGGGTTGTATGCGACCCTCCCATCTGTTTTGAGTTCTTCTACTGTTCTTTATCTTTGTTTATTTCTGTTCTAGAGTCTATTTATCATCTAATACGAATTATTCATAGTTCTTTGATCTGGGATCTTATCACACCACCATCCATTGCTATGAATACTTTGCCTTCCGTTCTCTTCCTTTTTCCGCTAGTGTTACCAAGACATCAACAGAAGAGTGTTTCATGCTACACTGGAGGTCAGAAAAGGTCATTTTTGTATACTGCTCTATATTAAAGACCCTTAGTATTTTTTTCGTTCATTAAAAATAGTACTATTTGTGAGTAAATATAAAAAATGTCCTTTTATATTTATGTCCAAGACAGGAGGTCAGACATATTAAAAAATACCTGCATACATTTTATTTTTAAATAGAGAATTGGAACGCAAGGCCAGTAAAAGAGAACAGATAGGTTTAGAGAACTCTGGAGAGGATGCACCAAATATAAGTCAGTTTTGAGCTGATGCATACGGCCATGATACTGTATCCACCCTATATAGCTGGTCTTCCAGAGTGATTCGATCAGCTATCTTTTGCGTTTCCATATTGGTCAGTGTAAGTCATGCCGTTTGGTATATGTAAATTATCATAAGCCGGACAGTTGAGAATTTGACAGAAAAAATATTTCAACCTTTTATTTTTCAAAAAAGATGGATTACATCAGTGTAAAATTCCTAAGCCCACTATTTATTTTCTAAACCCAGGTATGACCCACCAAAGTAACCATGTCTTAGCTGTTCCTACATGCACAGACATGATATCATCATCCCCTCCTTACTACAATACAATCATGTGAAATCCCCAGTGTAACAAGCAGACATAAAATGCTGTATTTACAATCATGTCAAAAAGGATGAGTATTTAAAATGCTGTATGGTCGTCTTTAAACCACAGGTAACAGTAGTAACAAAATATTAATGACATCATGAAACATAACAAGGGTTGCTTCTCTGGACCAAATGTGCCAATCTTGTTGTCTCAGTTCAAAACACACGGGGGTTATCATAGGAGTCCATCAAAAAGCAATTCCAATATTACTTCTGTGATTACTAGTGCTTCAAATATTACTTATATTAATAGTTCCCAAGTTAAGGTAACCAGATTTTGTCGGGAAAAGCACCGTACCTTGCGTATTCATTCAACAAATGGAGAAAAATTTCAATCTCTAAGTCTTCTGTTGACAATCTACTCGAACATGGGACGCCAAGTTTTCTCCTCACGCCAAGTAAAACGTCCCTGTATGAAGGTCTCCAACCCCTTCAAAAGAGACCAAGAAAAAAAGAAATTCAGATAGTAGGGGACGATAAATAATACTGACATTCTAAAAAAAGAAATCGAAGTAAAAAGCTTTCACAGAGATTTTCGAAAACCAGAGAATTGAAAGCATATTTTTGGTACGAATGGTGCCCAAGTTCGAACACCAGACCTCAGTGTAGAACGAGCATCTGCCGCCAGAAACAGAAATCGAGACTCAAGAAGTTCTATGAATTCGTCCCTCCCCTCAACATCATCCCCTTCCATCGTATGATCAACATCAGGATGATTTGCTATGGATTTCAGTAGAGGACTGAAGTAGCTGCAGGCAAAAATCATCACCCCAAATTACTTCTGTCGCCGAAATGGCTTCACAGTGAGGATTCATTGCAACGATAATCCGATAGAAACTGTCGACAGCAGGGTACAAGAGCACTTCGTCAAACGCTGCGGGTAACTAAACGCCAAGATATTTCACTCCTAACAAGAACAGCAAGGAGAATGATAACCGATTGACGCTACTCTTTTCCAAAGCCAATAGGGTTACCTGGGACCGAAGAGGATGTTTTGGAGCTCGGACAGCTCCTCGTCCGTCGCGAGCTCAAGCACCGACCGAAGCTCAGCGTCGTAGCTCCCCGCTGAAAATGAGAAAAAATCATTAAATTAAAGATAAATTTGACTGTCCCATCTAAACCCCAATCCACACAAAATTGACACTACCCACCGCTCCCCAGACTTCTGGACTTCAGTGCCCGGGTGAGGACACGAGGAATCCGAAGCGCGTCACCGTTGCTTCGCAAGGGAGAGATCAGGATACGATCAGGAGAGTTCTCCGGCAGAGACGGAGCGGGGATCTGGACACTCGAACCGGTACGGGTGGGAAATTGCGGCTTCACATGAGCGGCATTGATTGAAGCCGCCGGAAAGAATCCCTCGGCTCTGACTGCGGCGCCGTGTAGGGTCGCCGTCGGAAGGAGACCGGCCGCAAGCGCGACCATGTAGGCGTGCGAATCTTCCCCACCTTCGCCCGCCGCCCCCTCTCTGTTTGCCGGCTATTGAAGAGGAAAGAAAACCCGACCGTTGGCCGGCGGAGACGAGACTGCTGGGCCTCAGCATTCCCCGGTGTGGGCCCCACGCTCTGATCGGCGAGAACCTAAATGGGCCGCACAATCCGGCCCATTAAGCCGGCAAAACACGTGGGAGGGCTCATATGGAAGATAAATTATCCCATTTATTATTATTTTATTTTCTTCTAGCTTACCCACAGACTGGCCAATTATCCATAAACTCCCTACAGATCCTCCAAGCGTATTTAATAAATATTCCGCTACCATTTTACCAAAGTCATCTTAATATTTTACAAAAAAAAAAAAAAGAATCCCCTCCTATTCATAGAGGATCCATTGAAATGTATGTATTTTCGGAAGATGTTATCATAGGTGCCATAAAATGATTGACAAACTAATACCGCAAAACAAGAAAAATAAAATGTAATAAACTTATGCCAACTATGTTTTTCACAACATGTTAGGATTTTTTCATGCATACCCTACATTGCTATTTAATGTAACTAAATAATGAGATATTGTTATAAGTATTACTCCGAACATATTGATTTCGTTCAAAGTTTAAAGTCATAAAGTGAATAAAAAAAGATGGCCACAAACTAATAATTAATTATGTGCACAAAATGATTGATGATTCATAGTATACCATGAACTTGTGTTTAGAAGAAAAATCTTAAGCATAATATCATTGGCGTCGGTGAGATATTGCAAAATTACTCACATAATCACCAAGAGCTTATGGCGTTGACTCCTTAAAGAGGAGCACAAAAATGTCAACAGGAGGAAGTCAATAATTTTGTATGCAGGTTCCTCGTGATTGTGGACCGTGCTTGAACAAGCATGAACCAATCCACATCACTATAAGATACTGAAATTGGATCGAGTAAATAATGAGATTAAAAGAAGTGATGTAAACATTTTAAAATGATAATCACAAACTATCAATAATTGGGCAGATTTTTGGGAGTTGTGCATCATTGCCCATTATTTTTGGTAGTATTGTTATGGAGTAAACCCATTGATTGGTACTTTCTATAATTGGCAACTTCTTACGTCAATGCTCATATAACATTAAATATGTCCTCCAATCGCCCCTATATTCAGATATTACTAAGCCCCTAAATGACTTATTGGTCATGTTTGATGCTTATACTATGACTTTCCATCTTCATGTCATCAAATGTTACTATTTTTTGTATGGAATTTAATATTTTATTATTTGATAAGACATTATAGTGATGAGAATATTACAATATTTTGACTCGTTTCTAGATTGATATGGCTAAAGATGACAGTATTGTCATATGACTTCTCGCTTGCATTTTATACTTATATTATGACTTTCCAACTTCATGCTAGCAAATGTCAATATTTTTCGCATATAATTTAATATTTTAGTATTTGAGCATTTGTGATGATATCTAGAATAAGACTAACAATATATAGTAAATGAGTTCAATTACTCATTTATATTGCTGGTAATATGACAATACTTTGACTCACTTCTAGACTGATGTGTGCTTCACATGTGTTGTTTAAAGCTGGCAATATTGTCCTTGAGCCACCTCTCCTAGATATAGCCTTTGAATCCTATCAATGAACATGACTAGTTTCTTAACAAAATTAAGTCAATATAGTCCTTTATGAAAGCTTTTATAAGAATAAGGGGCATAGATGGAATGTTAGAAGCATCACCCACTAAAACTCCAAGACTTGGTGAAAATTGGGCCCAATTCTCATATAGTTTTCTATTTGAAACCACCAACTATCAAAGGAGGATCAGACTGCTGATCATACTCTTTGTAATACTAAAAATTATTGACCCTCAACTTGCTACTTACCATAGAATGTTGAATGGTAAAAATATCATGCATTACGTAGCCCATTATAGACTAGAGCGGCAATATGAAAAAATTTCACATTAATGGCAAAGATTAAATGATTTAACCCTAGATCATTACGGCATGTACATAGACGTCAATCAATATGAAATATTTTCACATTAATGGCAAAGATTAAATGATTTAACCCTAGATCATTACGGCATGTACATAAACGTCAATCAATATGAAAAATTTCACATTAATGGCAAAGATTAAATGATTTAACCCTAGATCATTACGGCATGTACATAAACGTCAATCAATATGAACAAATTTCACATTAATGGCAAAGATTAAATGATTTAACCCTAGATCATTACGGCATGTACATAAACGTCAATCAATATGAACAAATTTCACAATTAATGACAAACATTAAATGATTTCAGTCCTAGATCAGTGTGGCGTGTACCAAAATATCAATCATCATTTTAAGAGTTTGGTTTTGATTTGTTTTGTTACTATGAATAGTAGGAATGCAAGTTCTGAATGCTCCAAGACCATTTTAATTTACTACATTTTACTTTCAATCGAAAATTTATACAATAAAACCACCCATTTTGTTAAAAATCACGCCCACCTTCATTTCGGATTTTTTATGATCTGTGACTTAGCTCTTTACCTCTCAAGCTAGAAACACAATCGAAATCGGATAAAATACTCAAATAGCTTTCTTTTTAATGGCACTTAGGCACACACTCACTAAATGTAGAAAACTTTGCTGCTATTTAATGCAACCATACTTCATAGGAGATGAGTGAGTATACCGGAACTAGGTCCCTTGTTGTGATCGCTGTTACACCTTCACTAGCGCATGACAATGTCCACGCCCTTTTTAAGAGGGTGGTAGAACATTTAGAGAAGGCCATGGTTTCGACTCTGGTAGATGGCACAGGAGGTGGTGCTATGGGGCTGCAAGCACAGGTCAACAGTAGGTGAACTGGGAAGTAGAGTAGGGCGGTCGTAGGGATGGAAGGGAAGGGGGGGGAGAGAGAGAGAGAGAGAGGGACAGAGGGAGGGAGGGAGGAGGGAGGGAGAGAGGGAGAGAGGGAGAGAGAGAGAGGGGAGAGAAAGGAGAGAGAGGAGAGGGAGAAAGAGAGAGAGAGGAGGAGGAGGGAAGGCGGGAGGAGAGAGGAGAGAGAGAGGGAGAGAGAGAGGGAGAGAGAGGGAGGAGGAGGAGGAGAGAGGAGAGAGAGGAGAGAGAGAGGAGAGAGGGAGGGAGAGAGGGAGAGAGAGAGGGAGGAGAGAGGGACAGAGGGAGGAGGAGGGAGAGCGAGAGAGAGAGAGAGAGAGAGAGGGAGAGAGAGGGAGAGAGGGAGAGAGAGGAGGGAGGGAGGGAGGAGGAGGGAGGGAGGAGAGAGAGAGAGAGAGGGAGAGAGGGGAGAGAGAGGGAGAGAGAGGGAGAGAGGAGAGAGAGAGGGAGAGAGAGGGAGAGAGGGAGAGAGAGAGAGGGAGAGAGAGAGAGAGGGAGAGTGAGAGAGGAGGGAGAGAGAGAGAGAGGAGAGAGGGGGAGAGAGAGGAGAGAGGGGAGAGAGAGGAGAGGGAGAGAGAGAGGGAGAGAGAGGGAGAGAGAGAGAGAGAGGGAGGAGAGAGGGAGAGAGGGAGAGAGGAGAGAGAGGGAGAGAGGAGAGAGAGGAGAGAGAGGAGAGAGGGAGAGAGAGGGAGAGAGAGAGAGGGAGAGAGAGGGAGGGGAGAGAGAGAGAGAGGGAGGGGTGAGAGAGAGAGAGAGAGAGAGAGGGAGAGAGAGGGAGGGAGGGAGGGAGGGAGAGAGAGAGAGAGAGAGAGAGAGAGGGAGGGAGGGAGGGAGAGAGAGAGAGGGAGGGAGGGAGGGAGAGAGAGAGAGGGAGAGAGAGGGAGAGAGGGGGAGAGAGAGGGAGAGAGGAGGAGAGAGAGGGAGAGAGGGGGAGAGAGAGGGAGAGAGGGGGAGGGAGAATGGTGTAAAGTAAGGAATAAGGTATATTATGCGATTTTGGGTAAAAGGGCAGTATATAAATGACAGAAATGTACCCTACAGGCTACCAATGAAGACGAAGGGGGTTCCTAAGTGGGGGGGGGGGGTGTTTCGTCAATGGCAGACCTAGTCTGTGAGGAGCCAAACTCAAGAACCCTAAATTAAATCAACGTGTCTAAAGTGATGAACCAAATACCTCCAAACTTTTGTCATCTTCTACCATAAGTGGTTTACTGGCTCGTCCTGTGGCTCCCTAGTAATCAGGTGGAGAGGGCTGGAGGGTGGGCAAGCACAGACTACATTGTCAACACCAGCTCCTACAGCCTGCAGGGTCAGAATCTCAGGAAGCTGACAGGAGTTCAATAGTATATAGGTGGTCTACAAGAGAGTAAGCATCCATGGAGACACCGCATTCCTCAACAACAGCTCTGGGAGCAACGGAATGGACAAATAGATACCTGAGAAGTCTCTCTAGGCTCTCTGCATTCAGCCAAACCTGCGATTGATCATGAAGGCAGCGATCTTGACAGGGAAACGAGAAAGGGAAAGAAAGTTGCTGTTTCTGGGACATTCCAGGACCGCCATTGCCTCCTCTGGTATTCAGGGAAAATAGACGCCTCTGCAACCCATGGCCTTTTCCATGGCGTCCTCTCTCTCTCTGTAACATTGCCTGATGAGCTTGTAAGCTCTTTTACTCGCACTTGATAGAGTGGTATATGTGGCGAACAAAGAGCAGGGCGGCGCGGAAGCCCACGGTGCCAAGCATGAGAAAGAAGCCATAGCAGATGCATGCCATGTAGCCGAAGAAGAAGGATGTCTGCATGAACCCTGACATGTCCGACCGGGCATAGTAGTAGTACAAGCAGTAGGCATAAATGAAGATACCCGTTGAGCCGCCGCAGAGGAAGGACCTGCATCAAACAATTCCCCTTTATGAACAAGAAATGGAGAAAAAAAAGTTGAATGATTCTGCAAGTCAAGGACATTTCAGATTACAATTCAATGGTCAAGTAATTTTATGGGGGATGGAAGGTAAGTCTTAATATATTGGGAAAATTCTGGCAAAGCAACACAGGAGGCAAGGATGACTGAGGAAGCGAAGAAAATGAGCCAATAGAGAAAAATAAAGAACACTGAGCCGAAGGGTTACCTCCACCACCATTCATGGTCCTCGGAAGCGAGCTGAAAGTAGGTCAATGACACAGTGATGAACGCAGTAACGATGAGGAGAATGATGAAGACTATGAAGAGGATGCTGTATATGATGTAAATTCTGTGGCCCCAGATGCTGGCAAAAATGTAGTAAAGTTCGATGTAGATAGCACTAAAGGGCAAGAACCCAGCCATCGCCATTTGAGGGATGGTGCTCCGGTACCAGGGCAACTGTGGAATCTCTCTCGGGTATTTGGTGGTCCGCACAGGCGCCTGGAACTCAGTCTTGCTGTTCTTACCAGCAATCCCACCCAGAACAAGGAGAGGTGAGGTTACTAGCGTCCATATGAGGACGATCACAACAATGGTCCCAAAAGGTAACGCCGCAGTAGCACTGTATGCAATTGCAACAGTGTTTAGGAAGCAGAATGTCAAGAAAAGTGGCCCACAGAAAAGGCACCCAGTTAGTAGTAGATTCCTGACCTGCAAGAATAAATAAATGGTTGTTAACTTCAAGACATGTTCATCTATATCAATGTACCTATCAATCACACCATCTTCTGATCTATAGATTGATTGGTCTGTGGACAAAATAACGGGATGATGATTAAGAGGTCAAGTTTTAATGGAGCAATGATGCACACCCAGTTGGTTCCTTCAAGCTGGCAGTAGAAAGAGGTTGCAGTGTAACCAGCAATTCCAGAGGTAAGGGCGTATATGACAACCAGTGCCGTAAAGAGTGCTCCACGGTTGTAAGGATAAAACACCCCAACGAGCGCAAGGATGAAAATGAAAATGGTGCTGCAATGCAAGGCCACGATCAAGGATCACACAGATCATAAATAGATGGGGCAGAGAATAGAAGATCTATTTATTAAAATAATCGTATTAAAGGAGTACTCACAGTGTAAATAGCTGAGTGCCAGACCCAAGGCAGGCAGCAAAAAGCGACTTGTTTTGGGGAAATCGAAAGACATCACCGTGAATGTACTTCCACCCAGTCTCCTCTTGATCATCAGCCGCCTCCTCATCGTGGGCATACCTGTACACAAGGAAAGCATCATGAGGAAAAGAAAAAATAAACTAGTCCAGCAAGACAAATTAAATACGTCGATTTTAAGGGTCATGTATATAAAAAAAATCGTCTACGGTTAAAGATTTTTCAGAGAAGAGCTTGCTGGAACATTATGCGAAACAAGTTCAATGATAATTATAACTTGCACATTCTAACATATGCTTTGTTAGATAAGAATTGGTCAGATACCCCTGATTACTTAACAAGATATGGTACTGACCCCTGAAAACTGAAAACAGAGGAAAATAGAAAGAGTTGGTCCTCGATGAAATCCTGGGATATTGCATTACAAAGAAAAAGACAACCTAACATTCAGGGTAATTAGTCGCACTCTTCATGTAGAAAGTGATTATGTTCAATTGAAAATACCACACCATGATTTGATTCCTTAAGTAATTTCCTTCTGACTTCATTGTGATTTTCAAGCTTTTACAATTAAATGAGGCATGCCATCGGAGAATATAAATAAATGCCACTGGCAAGGTTCAACAAAAAGAGATTGTTTAAAAGAACAAGCTTCACCGTTTCCTTCCAGAGTTTATTTGGAGATTATTATTTCATTAATATAAAGGTTAAATAAGCACAAGATATTCAAGGGTTTCTTACTTCACAAAGTCATTCTTGAGCACCCGCATAAGGATTGTAGCAAGAAATCCCGTCAAGAGAAGCACTGTAACACATGAGTTGATAATCGAGAACCAATGGATTTCCAGGTGACGAGGCAGAGATGATAGCTGAGAGTATTTATCCATTCTCTTCTCAAATGGAGTGGTTGTTTCTTTCCACTTCACTGTGTATGAAAATTCCACATCGATATCCTTGTCTTCAGTAATATCCACCAATGCATTTTTATCAGCCCTCACAATAATCTCAATAACACGGTCATCATTGTAAAGGATATCAAAGAAGATATGCTTATAAAGAGAGTACTTATAATCACTGGGATGCCTGTCTTCTCTATCTACCTTCCCAATGAATCCCCAGATTGGGAGGTCATCATAGTACATTTGGAAGTAGTAATCCTTCATTACAGCGCTCCGGAACTGGGCAACTTCTTCCTTTAAGAGATGCTTCTGGCAAAGAGTTTTGGAATCCTCATCAACACGGAAATTCAGTACATATCGAGCGTCAACAAGACGGTCTCCATTCAAGACTTCCCCTAGAGCTTCCTTTTTCTCATTCACTTGATCTGTTATACAATGCCAAAAAAAAATGTAAGCTGAGATGGTTGAATCACGAAGACGAAGTCAAAAGTGTTAGAAGCACAAACCTGGGGAACAGAAAGGGAGATCGAAGTACCGATATGTCTCACTGAAATCAGCATTAAAAACAAGATCAGAAAAAAGAGATAATAAAAGCGTAAAAATGGCCAAACATAAATAAATGACAACTGTTCACTGAAAAGTACATATTCCGAGCGGAATTCAACAATCTCAATAGACTATAAATGGCAAAAAAGTACGGATGATGCTCACTGACTTAGTTCTAAGCTTTTTCACTTGATTTAATCAGAAAAACACAGTTTACACGACATTTAAATCAGACTGAATCTTTACTGAAATGTGAATTGACAATTTTTTCAGGCATGACATAATTCCGCCTGGGAGGCAGGAGAGGGCAGGCTGGGTGTACGCTTTTCCTCTTGTGCCGCCTAGACAGTTATTTTAGCCTCGCGTAATATCCTGATGCAAGATAAGCGACGGATCTAACGCCGATCTGCATTGAAGATACGGGGTGCGGAAAATGCACTACAAAATAAGTCTAACGAAGAGCTTTGGATGAAGATTCCAAAGGGAAGATGATGAAGTTTGCAGAAATTTTATCAGATCTGAGCTAAGTAGGATCGACAAGTAACTTAACAGCCCAATAATGCCAGCACCAGATGGAAGATGAAGCGAGTGTCTTCAGAACATCCCAAACAGGTCAACGAGATTAACGTAGATAAGAAGCAGGGAAAAACAGTAGGAACTAAGCACAAAACGCTAAAAACCTCGCGGATCGGGTAGAAAGGAGACGGATCTGAGAACAAGGGCCAGCTATTCGAGGGAGCCGGCAATTTCTAACTCACCTCGGATTGTGGAAGGGCCCAACCTTGTTAGCATAGAGAGGCACGGGTTCCCCCTGGCTATAGCGATGGTTAGAAGCGTCCGACACCACCCCGACGATCCCGACGCATACGAGGAGAGCCGAGAGCGCAACCAGCGCCGCCATCCTCTCCCCCATTCCCCCTCTCCTCCCACCCCTCGCCTCTCTTCGTTTTCACTCTCTCCAACTATCGTCCTCTCTCTCCTCCTTGCTTCAACACCCAAATTTTTTATAAAAGCGCAGAGGGAGGACGAAGTCGGAGAATGGGCTCGAAGCCTTTGACGAAGAAAATTAACCCCGTCATTAAGAGGCGGGAACAGAGATGAAGAGCGAGAGAGAGAGAGAGAGAGAGAGAGAGAGAGAAGGAGAGGAATTGTTATTTATGAGGGTCACTATTCGAGCCCGTCGGGTGGCCACCGTTTAAGCGCGATAGAGATCCCCCGCGCGACATCAGACCGCCTCGTGGCGCTGTCCATGTCGGTGCCGGTGCCGGTGCCGGTGCCGGTGGGCCTGTGCCGAACCACGTCGCTTTCGCGGGGCCACCTATGGGACAACGGGGTTCGGCCCGTCTTACTTGTGGGCCTATATCTTTGGCCCATTAGCTTCCCTAGTAACGAACGGTACCAGAGCGATGGAAAAAAAATCCGGGGATTCCTAGTCGAATGAGACCAATCAGAAGAGTACACGAAAGCACGCTGCGTTGGAGATCCGGGAATCCAAGAGTTTCTAGGCAAATCCACGGAACTTCGGTCAAAATCGTCGAGCCCTTGAGATATTCGGCGTTTGGACTGGAGGAATGTAGCGGATTTCCCGGATTCTGCTGACTTTTGTGTTTCCACTTCGTTTGAACGTGTGAACAGTTGAATCGGATCGTTACCAATCGGGTCGGATCACCGAATTGACTCGTAGCGGGTCGTGACGGTTCGCCGAGGAGTATATAAAGCTGTCTCCTGCTCAGGCCCGGCCTCGAGGAAGGAGATGGGAGATTCAGAGGGAGAAGAGGGGAAGCACAGTCCCTTGGAGGGCGGCGAAGTGGAAGGCAAGCTCTCTTCCTCTTCGTTTCCGCTATTCGCCGTCTCGAATGCTCCTCCTGCCGTTTCAGGGGGCACCTCGGAGGCCCCCCTGTGGCTCCGCAACCCCAGCTTTACCGCCGACATCTCGGCGATCAGCCGCCTCTCCGGTGCCGCGACCGAGACATCCTTTCGTCCGCCTTATGATGGAGACGAAGAGGAAGAGGAAGCGGAAGTGGGCGGCGCGGGGGGAGGGGCCCCGTCTACTAAATCCCGCGGATACGAACTGGTCGGTTCTTCTTCTGTGTCATCGGAGGAACGTCGCTCTGAGAAGAAGAAGAAGAAGAAGAAAAAGAGGAGGACGAGAGAGGGTGAGGAACGGAGACACGTCAACGATGACTCAAGGAGGACCAAAGTTCGACCGTGGGCGGGTGCCCAGAGTACAAAGCCAATCAAGGAGTACTACATTGATATTAGTGGGGATCCTGATAATTTGGTCTTCGGGTCGCTCTACAGGTTTCTCCTCTAATTCGTGTATCATCTTCATTTCTTTTGCGTTCCGAGACAAGTGTGCTGTCATTGCTTCTGGTGCTCGCGTTAAACCCTAACTATATGGCATAGGGCTTTTCGATGATCTTTTGTGGAGACATTTATCAGCTATATTTTCTTCTCGGTTCAGTTTACTATGATTTTGTGTGATTGGTGCCGCTAGGGGGCACTCACTTGGTATAAAAGTTGATTCCAGCTTAAATTTAATATTTTCCTCCTATTATTTAATCTAATTATGATGGATTAGCCATACCCACTTCACTACACTATCCTCTATTTTTCCTTGCATATCTACCACTATTTGCTCACTTCAAACTATTTTTAGTTTTCTTCGTAATGTTTATACGTGTTTAATGGAACTAACTTTTAATTGCAGGATGGATGTTGCCCGTTACAAGATCCAAAATCTTTGGGAGACACCAAATCTTCACCTTCAAGCTCTTTATAGAAAGCAATTACGAGATTCATATCTAGACGCAGAAAATGATCTTGACGTCTTGGATAGTAAGTCGAAAGCAGCAGGTCGCTACTGCTCAACAAAATATTCAGCCTTGGAACGACACAAGGGCTTTAAACGCGTGAAGCTTGTTAGTAATGAAAAATGTTTGGCTGTACCTTCAGACTTCATACCCTTAGTTGAGCCAGAAGTGACCCATGAAAGATACGATTCAGAAATGGTATCAAAGACAGAGATTGAAGAGTCTTGGGAAGATGAAATGATCCGACGAACAAGGGAATTCAACAAAAAAACCAGGGACTTTCCACACGATGAAAGGATTTGGATGGAATTTGCTGATTTTCAGGTATTTCACTTTCATATTGATTATCATTCTTGTGTTTGAAGCTTAGTTGATATGCCTTTGTTATTATGTTTTAATTTGTTCATAAAAAAATGTGTAACTTGAGGATGCGTCCGACCACTTCACTTATGCCACCTTTCAAAATCACAATTAAGTTTTGCTTATGTGCTCATCATTTCTGATTTTTTTTTTCCTGCCAGGGTTCAAAAAGCTGCTTGATCATTGCCACTCTGTGTTCCCTTGACCCATACACATTGGAGCAGGAAAATCTTGTCATTTTTATGACCCAGCATGTGTGAATCGTCATTCTTGTTTAGAAAAAAGTGATTATCTACAAGTGACGTTTACATTGCAAAAACCTTCCAAAATTTTCATTCGTTTCTCTCTTATGCCTGACCTTGACCCTGAATGTGTTCGACAATGGCCAAAATTATCACCAATCAGTCTTTCTCCAGGGCCTCTGTATTCCATGAGGAATTCATTACATTGCTCCCACTGATTAGCCAGTTATTCAGCATAATTTCTGTTGATTTTTTTTAGGGTTTCATCTTTATTTTGGCACCTCTCTAAATCATCTTTTGTAAACAGCCCCCCATAAATCTATTCCATTTTCTTACTAATCCAACTACATGTGGACGCAGTGGGTTATGCTGTAGACATTTTATTTTGTTACAGTTTCTGTTTTTTTTTCTTTTTTTTCTATTGAAACTGCATTGATTGACATTCCTTGTCTCGAGTATGAGTAGCCCCAGCCAGGCCTTGGTAACGGTTAGGAGTATAGAGCAGCAACAATGTATCCTTGTCAAGTTGTTACAGATTAAGTAACATGTATTCTATTGTTTGATTTAGTTTCTTTCTTGTTTTCTTTTATTATTATTTTTTTATTTTCATGATTCCTGTTTGCAATTTATTTTATTAAAGGCATGTTTGTGAATTATTTTTTTTGTTTATTTTGAAACATAGGATAAAATTTCCAGGACACAGCCACAGAAAGCAGCTCGTTTGCAGACGCTTGAGAAGAAGATTAGTATACTGGAGAAAGCTGTCGAGCTCAATCCTGAAAATGAGGAGCTGTTGCTTTCTCTTCTACATGCATATCAGAAAAGGGATAATGGCGATGTTCTTATTGAAAGATGGGTGAAAATACTCATGCATCATTCTGGGAGTTACAGACTGTGGATAGAATTTTTACATGTTTGTCAAGCAGATTTTTCCAAATTCAAAGTCACTGATATCAGAAAAACATATGCTCATGCTATCCAAGCTGTGTCTTCTGCGTGCAACAAACTTTGTAGGCAGGTTTTTTTTCTTCCCCTTATGAACATGTTTAACCTCCTGGATAAGAAACTTGTATTTTACTTTCACAAAAACTTTGCTTGTTTGGAAGGTCGATTTCCACTAGAAGACGTGCAGAAGGAACTGCTTTATTTTTATGTTTATTAGCTTACATTATTCTTTATTTCTTGTTTGTTTTCAGTATTTTTTTAGAATCAAGTACAAAAACTATCTAGGCGTCTTTAATCTGTACCGTTAAAAATAATTTGACACAGTGCAACGGATGATTGTGTCACGTTATCAGAGTAGTCATTAGAAGATGAGATAAACATCCAAATTGCACAAAATGAACTAAAGGAAGGAAAAGATGACTATAGGTGAAAGAAAATCGAGAGAAAGATAGGTATCTCCCCATTCTTTTTAATGCGAAGTGTTCATATATTACTAAAGTTGGGCGGATGTTTCCTAAAATTCAGGTATAATTTGGGAAAGCTCTAGAAGTATGAGTTAGAGACAGAGATTGAAGAGGTCGTTGGGAAACTTCGACTGACCTGACATATTAATGCTGACTATAACAGTCAAAAATTGTGAAATTCATTCAGGTCATCTTCCTTTCAATGTTATTCCTGTCATTGCTCATCTCATGGCTTACTTGGCTCATAATGCTAAGATGCAGTGGAGGTTGGGATACAGATTACGAACGACGTAATCTTTTAGCCAACGACCTCTTCAATCTCTGTCTCTAGCTCATACTTGGTATCTTAAAGATATTGGATAATGACATGACTTACCTAACCTTTTAGCCAACAAATCGACGTGTTCAATTCTAACTCAGCCTTATTGGCGCAAGGGGCTCATTGACCAATAAACTATTAAATAGGATTATGAGGTTCTCAGATAAATTGCTTCTGTGGGATTTTCACGAAGCCACCCTTTGTAAATATGTGGTCTGATATTTTCAAATACTATTTCTAGTCTGTTGTGGCAAAAGATAATATAAAATGATTGATAGTCAACGGATGAGGGATGGTGTAATGTGCATTATAGATACGGTAGATCATAAATTTCAATAGACTCTATAAAATGTGGCTTAATTTTGCTTACATCTTGTTATCTTAGCAGCAGGTCGGGATATTATTCAAATCCTGAGATCAGTAATCTGTGCTTTGGCTCAATGTGCCACGCATAATACAATCATTGTTTTGCATTGACTTGAGAACAAATCGTCATCATCATCATCATCATAGAACCTAATCAAAGTAGCTTTTGGATGTCTGGCACCGTTGGCAGAGTTTCCCATCTGTCAAGAATGAAAAATTATTTCTATGGTGAATCTGAAACATTCTGACCTTTTTGTTCGAAAGATAATTCCTCACTTTGATTGTCTAATATTTTTTTAAAAGCAGATTCGTCAAACTGCCAAGTCTGAGCGGACTGATCCTGATCTAGTGCAACTAGAATATGGTCTGGTTGATATATTTATCAGCCTCTGCAGATTTGAATGGCAAAGTGGGTTCCGTGAATTGGCCACAGGGCTATTTCAAGCTGAAATTGAATACAGTTTGTTCTGCCCATCCTTACTATTGAGTATACAGAATAAACAGAGGCTGTTTGAGCACTTTTGGAATGGTGATGGTGCAAGAGTTGGAGAAGATGGAGCTCTTGGGTGGTCTGGATGGCTGGAAAAGGAGGAAGAGAGTAGGCAGAATGTTATGGAGGATATTGACGAAGAAACTGAAGGCGGAGGGTGGTCAGGCTGGTACAAACCTTCACCCAAAAATGAGGAAATTACCAAAAATCCTGACAACTCGGCGGAGGATATCCATGGCGATCTGAAAATTGAAGAGGACCTGGAAATGGAAGATGCACATCAGGAAGAGGATGTTGAATCGTTGCTCAGGAAACTTGGTATTGATCCTGATACTGAACCTCAGAATGAAGTCAGTGACTCAGCAACTTGGAATAGATGGTCAAAAGAAGAGGCTTCGAGGGAGTCTGCACAATGGATGCCTGTGCGTGAAAATTCTGGTGCTCACTTCTTTCTTTTTTTTTGTGTTTCAGAAACATTATAGTCCCTGACTTGATTTCTCTATATCTGACTTGTGTTTTTTATGAAAAAAGTAGGATCTGGTCACCCTGGGGATCCAGATGGAGAAAGCAATGAGCAACTTTCAAGGGTTATATTATTTGAAGACATTCAAGATTACATATTTTCTTTATACTCAGAGGAAGCTCGTTTTCGTTTAGTGACTCGATTCATTGATTTTTATGGGGGCAAAGTTTCTCAATGGTTAGTATAGAGTTTCAGTTTCCTTGAAGATCATAGATATTGGTCTAATTAGTCTTGAGGAGATGCATACACTGGGTGACTCTACTTGTTTCTGCTCATGGAGTAATTTGTTCGTGCATTTTTGATATATATATATATATATATCCTGCCATTTTTTAATCTAAAAATCTGATTTTCTATTAGAAGTCTGCACCCTTCTCTATTATGTAATCTAGTGGAAGATATGTGTGAAACTTGAAAAGAGCCAGTGTCGGTATTTGGCTTCCCGTTCAGTGGAGAGGTCATGGCCTTTGGATACCATCATTTGAATATCTAGAGGGTTCTATTGTGCGATTAGCTAAAATAATATGCACAGTAGAGTGATGTTGATGCATTATATACAGTTTGAATAAACTAAATATTTTCAGCAGCTTCTTTCTAGCGTGCATTTGGAGGCATAAACGTTTTGCTCCTGCTTTCTCAATCACGATTCTCTTATTTCGATTTCCTGGCGTTTCGTCCCTTTTCTTTCTTTTATGAAACTTGATTGTATAAGTTTGTATATGCGTGTGCATCTTTCAGTGGGGATTCTCGTACCGACTATTTTGTGTGCAATGAGTGCAATGAGAGTTGACTTTGCTTTCACTGATGAAAGCTTATGCAAAAGAGTTCTGTCTATTCCTAATCCCTAGGAGGACCGATTCAAGGCTATTCAGCAGATTTTATGCTCTTCCCTGGCTTGCTTTATGTGCATTGCTCGTTACTCATGTTCTTTGGGTATCTTAGAATGAACGTGAAAGAATTTATGTGTAATGATTCTTATGTTACCTATTGCTTTTCATATTATGTCGTTACTCTGCTAGGATGCAACACCAACTTAGACCTCCATTATTGCTGGAGTATGTGCTCAGACCTCCATTATTTTGCAGGGCATGCACCAATAGTGCAAGCTGGATCGAAGATACACTCAGCTTAGACACAACACCAACTTCTATTTTGAACGTTTTGGGAGACGCCCCTTGGGTGGCATCAGAGCCTGATTCTGATTCAATTCATTACAGTTTGAAGTTGCTTTTGGACAGTGAAGCTGATATTCTAAGGAAAGGAGAAATAATGAAATTCCTTCGTAATGGAATTCTGCTTTGTACAAACTCTTTTCCCCGTAACTACATTTTGGAAGAAGCCTTGCTTCTTGCTGAAGAACTATCTATGACGCAAGCGAATTGTTCCACCTCCTCTGATACACCTTCGCGGCCTCTGGCTAAAAGACTCTTAAAAAATGATCGACAAGTAAGTACAATCCTTTCTTCACAAGTTTCATGTGTTTTTTTCCCGCAGATGATCATGTCATTTTTCTTCTAAGTCAAGATTAGTCATTCTTCCTTAATGATATCTTTGATGATTTTTCTTTTCCATTCATATTTTCTAGTTAATATTTATTTAGATTCTTGTTTGTAGTGATGATGGAGATTCAAAACTCTATAGGTTGAGCTCTTGATATTTGCTATCGTTACTTGTTTTTTTTATTTTTATTTTTTTAAACATCTGAAGGTAATGCGTTTGGTTGGTCTTTAGAAATGAGGAATTTTTCAATCACAGCAGCACTTGAAGGGCTAAAACAGGCGTAGGCCAACTTTATTCGTGACACTAGAGAGGAGTTTTTCATTTATAGTAACAAGTAGCCGACAACGTGTATAGTTTCATGAGCATTAGAGTACTGCTCCCAGAACCAATGAATCCCTTACAGGAATCATAACTATAATGAACAGAGGAAACTTTGAAAGAAAGGAAAACACAGACTTGCCTTGTTTGGCGAGGTCCTTCAACTCTTCACATCGTTGTATGTTGCATCACCTCTCCCATCATCGTTGTCTGATGATTGTCTTCTACCGCTTGTCATTGTGCTCTGGTTTGACTCAGGATCGGAGGGATTAGTTCCTGTTCTAATCTAGAGACATCGAGGCCCTTTTATTGCCCATCCAACGTTTCAGAACCTACACATGGCATTACACATCTATCCCTATACTCTATACATTGCATGCTCTATATCTGTACACTTATTAATGCGTAATTACTCTTTGTGCAGGATTTGTTGCTTTGTGGAGTATACGCAAAAAGAGAGGCTGCACACGGAAATACCGATCTTGCTAGAAAGGTGTTTGACATGGCGCTGCTGTCGGTCGGTGGACTAGCACCGGTAATCCAAAGCCTCTGTTTATGTTGAATGTATTCAGTTGCACATGCAAACCCCATCTCGTCTAAGGAACTATCAGGCGATTATCATATTCCCTCAAATCGGGATTCATAAATACTTGCAGAAAAATGCCTCCATTTCGATTGCAGAACATGTTTATGCCTTGCAAATTATAGATGCTGATACTTTTGATGTTTGTGTCAGTTCTTGATCTTCTTCTCTTCTTGTTCATTCGATCAGGCTCTTCAAGGCAATGCCCCTTTCCTTTTCTTTTGGTATGCTGACATGGAGATGACGGACTTCGTCTCTTCTGGGTCAGAAATTTGCCATAAGAGGGCCATCCACATCTTATCACATCTGGGTTGTGGCGCGAAATATGAACCTTTTAAAGGTCAACCATCAGGCCCGCTGCTTCTTAGGGCCCGCCAAGGATTCAAAGAACAGATTAGGTCCCTGCGTCCTTTGTGGGCTCATGGAGATGTGAAGAACGAGGCTGTTGCACTGCTCTGTTCAGCTTCATTGTTTGAGATGTTAACCATTGGATTGGATGCCGGCGATGAAGTGATAGAAGAAGCTTTTTCCATGGTTCTTCCAGGTGACTTCTCTTCTCCCATCAGATATTGTGTTTATCTTTCTCCTCGGCTGACATTCGTCAGCTTTCTAAACATGAATGGTTCTCGTATCCTGTGTTCATTGAGTTTAATGAATACATAAATAAATAAGATCATGGCGAAATACCTTGATGATTTGACTCCCATTCCGTAAAGTTGACCTTCGACTCTCTGGTATATTGTCATACTCTTCCTGCTGCTACTTACCCCTGGTCAACGGCAGAACGCAGAGCACAGAGCCTTCAGCTCGAGTCCTTATCCACCTACTTCATCGGTCTTCTCCTGAGGCATCGCCAGCGGCTGACCCTCTCGAGAGTATGGCGTAGCATCTCGCGGGGGCTGCAGACGTATCCCCACAACCCGAAGCTGTCCTCTGCCATGGTCGAGATCAGCGGCCTCTTCACCGTCCGGCACAGAATTCGTCGCACCTTCGACGAGCTCTGCCACAGGTTCGGCCCCTCCTCTTCCTCCCCTCGGGCATCGCCCGAGGACCATTTCACCTTTGGAAGGATCACTTCTCTCAATCTGGATCACTTCAGGAACCCTTCGGTGGTCGTCTTCCTCTTCGCGCTGTCGTTTGAATTGGGGCGAGACGGTTCGCAGCACAGAATCCGCGGACTGTTCGAGCGAGCCCTGTCCGACGACAGGTTGCAGAGGTCGGTTCTTCTGTGGCGCTGCTACCTGGCATACGAGGCTCAGACCGCCCAAAACCCTAATGCAGTGAGGCGTGTGTTCTACAGATCCATCCATGCCTGCCCCTGGTACGTCCCCCCATCTTCTTCATCCCCCTTCCTCTCCGTATTCTTCTTCTTCTGCAGCAGCAGAAAAAGAAGCGGGAAGAGGGCAGAGAGAGAGAGAGAGAGAGAGAGAGAGAGAGAGAGAGAAGGGGGGGGGGGCACGTGTCAGAAGCGGGCCCCATCAAAATCCAGAGCCAGCCAGATGGGTAATGGACCGGAGACGGGAGGCCCAGGTCCAGGAAAATCCCGCGCTTATTTATTCCCGCGTTTTTCTCGTTCGTAATGTCGCAGGTCGAAGGTGCTGTGGCTGGACGGGTTCCTGAAACTGAGTTCCATCCTGACCGCCAGGGAGCTGGCGGATCTTCAGGAGGTGATGCGCGACAAGGAGTTGAATCTGAGAACCGACATATACGAGATCCTCCTGGAGGACGAGCACTGAAATCGGCCGTCTCTTGTTCCGGTGACGATCTGTGAGGACGATGGTGTACATTGGACGCTTGGAGGAATGAAGAGAGGGGGAGGTTTTCTCCGATCCTTGTCGCTTCTTGTTCTGTGATTGATCGCAGGCGGAGGAGGAGCTCGTGCAGAACGTGGCGGCGCGCGCGTGAAGCTCGGGGAATCTCGCCGCTCCTCGATGGATGTGGACGTGTAGGATGACCGGAGAGGAAGTAGTTCAGGCGAAGGAACCGCGCACCGACGGGAGATGACGGCTGGGGACGATCGCGATCGGAGACGGACCATCGTCTGAGGCTTCGTCTTTTTCTCCTGTCGTCGGGAGAAGTCTAGTGGGGGGAATATGGGAAGGAGTGGTCCGATATTTGGTCGTCTGCTCGCTTGGTACCTCTTCTTCGGCGCGTTCTTCTTTCCACTGATGGCCGCGGTAGGCGCGCCTCCACCGCGGTACAGAGATGCCGGCCTTAGCGTCGAGGAACGCGTCGAGGATCTCCTCTCCCGCATGACTCTGGCGGAGAAGATCGGACAGATGACGCAGATCGATCGTTCCGTCGCTTCGCCCGAGGCGCTCATTCAGTTCGCCATCGGTGTGCCTTCCTGGAACCTACCTCGCTTCTCCCTCCCCCCGCCTCTAGGGCGTCATTTCTTAATTTCTTCTCTCTATCTTCCCTGCTTCTATAATTCTCCTCTCTCTCTCTCTCTTCTCTCGCTCGCTTGCTAGATCGGTTTCTAGCCTTCTTGAGCGTTTCTTGACTGGTATTGCTGGTAGGGAGCGTGCTCAACGGGGGTGGGAGCGCGCCGTCGCCGGCCGCGGACGCGACGGAGTGGGCGGACATGATCGACGGATTCCAGCGGTCTGCCCTCTCGACGCGGCTAGGCATTCCCATCCTCTACGGGACGGACGCCGTGCACGGTCACAACAACGTCGTCGGCGCCACCATCTTCCCCCACAACATCGGCCTCGGAGCCGCCAGGTAACCACGAACCCGCCACCAGTTCATAACCGTCTACGACTCCTCTCGCCTCTGCCAATCTTTCCAGTTCGCTCACCGCTTTTGCTCATCGAATTCACTCGAGAAGGAATGAGAAGTTGGTGGAGAGGATCGGCAGGGCGACGGCGCTGGAGATGCGCGCGACCGGCTGCCCCTACACCTTCGCCCCCTGCTTGGCGGTAAAACTTGGATCTGTTTCTAAACACCGACAGTTACCTTCCGATTTTGAATCCCGTAAAGCTCACTGAGCGGGGCGGCGATGCATTCCGAGATCATCAGGTATGTCGCGATCCGAGGTGGGGGCGATGCTACGAGAGCTACAGCGAGGACACGGAAGTCGTGCGCAGCATGGCCAAGATTATCGCGGGCTTGCAGGGGACGCCGCCGCCGAGGGACCACGCCCGTGGCTACCCCTACGTCCACCCATGGTAACCCCCCCCTTCTCCACCACTGTCTGGTTACTCTCTCTCTCTCTCTCTCTCGCTCATATTTCCCATGGGACAGGGGTAGGAGCGTGGCTACCTGCGCCAAGCACTTCGCCGGGGACGGTGGCACGACGGGCGGGGTGAACGAAAACAACACAGTGGCCGACTACCCAGACCTCTTCCATGTCCACATCCGGCCTTACCTCGACGCCGTCGCCATGGGGGTCTCCTCGGTGATGGCATCCTACTCCAGCTGGAACGGCGTCAAGATGCACGCTAACACCTACCTTCTGACCAGGGTCCTAAAGCAGGAGATTGGCTTCCAGGTTAGACAAGCACCCGCTCCTCCTCTAATCTCGGCCATCTCGGGGGATTAACGTGATTGATGGTGCCGTTGTCCTCTGCTGCAGGGTTTCGTGGTCTCTGACTGGGAGGGCGTCGACAGAATAGGCCCGGACTACAAGAACAGCGTCAAGTTGGCGATCAACGCTGGAGTCGACATGGTCATGGTCCCCTACAACTTCCGACAGTTCATCTCCGACCTCACGGATCTGGTCCTCTCCGGCCAGGTGACGATTTCGAGGATCGAAGACGCCGTCCGGCGGATCCTGAGGGTGAAGCTCGTGATTGGCCTGTTCGAGCGGCCCATGGCCGACCGCTCCCTCTCTGGGATGCTCGGCCACGCGGTAAGCGAGCTATATCCAACCCACCGTCTCCACCTCCCACAAGGCCGACCTCACGGACCGTCGCCGGAGAGCAGGCCCATCGGACGCTGGCACGGGAAGCCGTGAGGAGGAGCCTGGTGCTGCTGAAGAACGGCGAGGGCCGGGGGAAGGAGTTGCTGCCGCTGAGCAAGACGGCGTCGAAGATCGTCGTCGCGGGGATCCACGCCGACGACATCGGCCTCCAGTGCGGCGGGTGGACCATCACCTGGGCCGGAGGCCCAGGCAACACCACTCACGGTCCGTACCACTTCCTTCTTCTTCCTCGGTATCTTTGGCCCCCGCCCGAATGCTTCTCCGAGAGCGTTTTGTCGCAGGGACGACGATCCTCGAAGGGATCAAGGCGTCGGTCAGCCGGCGGACGGAGGTGGTCTTCTCGGAGGAGCCGGACGAGCATTTCGTGGCGGCCAACGCCGACGCGGCGTACGCCGTCGTGGTGGTGGGAGAGAGGCCGTACGCGGAGTCCCAGGGAGACGACCCGGTGTTGACTCTGCCGAGGGAGGCGGTGCGCACAATCACCACCGTCTGCCGAAGGATCAGGTGCCTGGTGGTCGTCATCTCCGGGAGGCCGATAGTTTTGGAGCCGTACGTCGGCGCGGTGGACGCCCTGGTGGCGGCGTGGCTGCCGGGGAGCGAGGCCGGGAAGGGGATCGCTGACGTGATCTTCGGCGACTACGACTTCACGGGGAGGCTGCCGAGGACGTGGTTCAGACGGGTCGACCAGCTTCCCATGAACCTCGGAGATGCTCACTACGACCCGCTCTTCCCGTTCGGGTTCGGGCTCTCCATGAACATCCCCCCGCCCGACCTCTCGTCCTCCTGATCTCCTCCACTGCTCTCTTCTGGTCAAACTGTGGATCACTCTCTCTGCAAGCACATCTGAGAAGTCTCTCTACTTTCCCGAAATTCCGCGAGGAGGAATGATGGATGTAGAGGGACGTTCTGTCGGTGGGATGAGAGAGAGGGAGACTGAGGAGAGATGACCAGAGGCAAGGACAAGAGCGGCGATGGAGGGGACTCTTCATCATCGTAGACTATCATTGAAGGAGCCGGCGTGAAGAGAGAGAAAGAGAGATACGTGCCGCCGACACGATGAGTCCCTTCCAGACCCTCCGGCATCGGCGACAGACAAGATGTAGCCCCGGGCGGCGGCCGCCATTAGCAGGGAGGGTCTAATCAAATGAGAATCCTCGTTCCTGGGTAGCAATCATTTCGCAAAATAGCAAGAACAGATGGAACTTCTCCTGGAAGATGACTGCTTTGGTAAGCCCCGTTTATTCGTTTCTCACGAGTAGCACCACATTTACACAGGTACAATTAGCTAGTTCAGAGGGGCCCTCTCTCTCTCTCTCTCTCTCTCATCCCTTCGTTCTGATGATAGTGATGGTTCCCCTCCCGCGGGTGGATATTCTGGTGAGGCCCACAATGGCTTTGCCGGAGAGGCCGGGGCCGTCGCCGGAGACGCAGGGGAGGCAAGCGAATTCTCCGACGGGGTGCCGGATGGGCCTCGACGGCCGCATGAGTAGCCGCCGGTTTATGTCTTCGAGGGTGGTGCCGCCGTCGAACCCGCCTGGCCTCACCACCGCGAACGGGTACACCACCTTCCTCCTCGTCGCCGCCGTCTTCTTCTTCTCCGGCCGGGAATCCGCTGCCAACTCTGCGGAGGAAACGAACGCAAGGAATCCTGTTACCCCCCATGAACAGATGACAGGTCCATTGTAAGGGACAGCGCTGGCGAGGAATGGCCACCATTCACGGAGAAGCCTCTGATTTTAGGGCAACCATCGGGAGACGAAGAAGACGATGTATTGGGGAGGGGTTGTTCTTCCGCCGTGGCCGGCGGTGCGTGCATGGGAGTTGTGCACCGGGAGGAGGGGGCATCTCCGGCGAAGCTGCTCGGACCAGTGGCGAGATCGTGGGGATGGCTCTTGCAGTTCCAGAAGCCCTGAAGGGAGGAAGAAGCTGTCCCACGTCACGATTTTGCGGGTTCTTCTGACCTTCTGCAGAATTACAGCGAAGGTGGACAATTACCAGGACGATGTCTTCGAGGACGACGTCCTCCGCCGCCGCTCGGTTCCGTGGGAAGAGCAGCGTCCGCCGCCGCTTGCACCGGTCGTCCCACTGGGCAATGGCGTCTTCCAGGTACCCCGTCGTGAGCACTGCGAGGAGCAGCATGTCAGATACGATACTTGAGCAAGGAAGACGATGATAGAGAGAGAGTATCGAGGGAAACATGGTCGCCGAGAATTCCCTGCCCACCGGCGAATTCAGATGCTGTGGCATCTTCGAGGTCGTCCAAATTCCAGGCCATGGAGGGCAGCTGGGTGCCGTGGTGGTAGTAGTAGTCATCGCAGGCCGTCATCATCGTGTCGCCGTAGAAGCACAGCACAGCAGGATTCGCTCGCCAGGCTACAGCTCCTCCTGGGTCAAAGAGAGATGGACTTGTAGAGAGATAAACCAGGACGGAGAGTAAGGGAGGGAAGAAATAAAGGAAAAGCTGGCAGGGGGGGGGGGGGGGTCGTCGGGGCTCCGGTTTCTTTCTCGTGATTCGGAGCGGAGTGGGCTCTTCTTCTTCCTCCTCCTGCAACTCTCCTTTCTCTTTCCGCCTGCCAACTCTAATTCTCTGCTCCTCATGCATGTGATGGGCCGTATATTCGGAGCCCGGCCCGATTAATGCGGACCCACCCTTGGAGCCCGCGAGGCTTGGATGTAAGGGACCCATTTACTCTTACCATGTACATCGTGTTCTATCTGTATCTCTCCTCTGCTCTGTTATTCAATATCTCTCTCTCTCTCTCTCTCATGCAATGCAGAGGCCCGACTTTTACAGGGCCCGGCCTGGAGCCCACAGTGTGGGCTTTTCCGGTAACAAAGAACTGGGTCCCGCCTTAGTAAAAGGTCACCGGGCTCGGGACAAGGGAAAAGCCCGGCCTGGCCTGGGCCATCGTAATTAGAGCTAGAAAATCAATGATGATGGCGTCACTTCGATGCCTACAACGTCCGATCGCAGGCGGACGAAGCGATTTACTCCTCACTCCCTCAACCATAAAGGGTAAGATAGTGGGTCTCCATTGCACCTACCATCCAGATCGATATAAACCACCGCTCTTAAAGCGGTGGCCCATGGACTCCCTGCTCCTCCGGTGGATCGGTGATCGAGAGAGAGAGAGAGAGAGAGATGAGGAGCGTCTTGAAGAGGAAGCAACGGGAAAGGCCATCAGTTGGGGATCTGGGGATTCGTGACTCTTGGTGCATTACCAGCAAGGAGGTTGGGCCGCCGGAGTGGGCCAAAGCACCAGCGGCGGCGGAAGGGTCCCCTCCAGTGGGGCTTGGAGTCTTCACGTCAGTTTTCTGCTCACCGGCGGAGCCTCTTATGAGACACTCACGTCACTCGCCTATGAGATATCTCATATACTGTTAGTTATCCAAACATCTTAGTGAGACTCTTCACCATCTTCATTAGAGTCACTTTGCCTGGAGCTCAGTCCTCACCTTTATTCGATCAAAGGAATTCTATCAAATTGGTATTAGAGTTATACTATTAAGAACTAGTGATACAACAATAGAGTTCGTCGAGATGCAGTTGGAAGAGTTAAGTCGAGATTTTACTACCCTCTTGAAAGACATCTCAACATTATTGATTGACGACAAAGAGACCCATTTCGAGATCTCAATGATCAAGCAACAATAGAAATATTTAGTCCATACCTTTGAAGATCAACATTGAAAGCTGAATACCTCCTGGGGCAATGGTCTTGGTAACACGGTCCACACAGATCACCTTGAAGACTAGGCTCCAGGCAAAGTAAGTCCAGGTTAGGTTACCCACCTTCGAGGGGAGGTAGGAGACTCGGAACTTAACAAATGGTTGTATAATCATTACAGTGGCCTGCATAGGTTGGAATGGGCCACAACCAACTCCTCACTTCTCTGGAGATAGTGGCCACAAGCTCCAAATGCCCTTATTCAACAGCTAGGATTCAGAGGGCTAGGTCTTCCTTGCAAAGCTATATTTTTCTATGTGTAGACTCATTGATTTATAACCTCATCACCGGTGACCTCAATCTATAAGGAAAAGCTTTTTTCTAATATAAATGGATGGATGCATGTGAGCTCTTTAAGGATTAAAAAGAGGAACTTCTAACAGAGAGAACCTATTTGTTTTGAGCTAAAAGCATTCCAAAGGTTGTAGACCTTGACAATGTAACGAAGTACATTATGAGTTTGAACCAATTAGTGACTGCAGCAATTGGTGGTCTTCCCAAGTACATTCTCAAGAATACCATTTTCAAATAGAGGTCTGCCTCCTCGTTGGTTTAAAAGTTATCATGATAACCCCAAGAATGGAGATGAAGAATTGAGTATCAAGGACCTGGAAGGATCATAGTAACTATATACTTCAAAATATGTTGTAGTTATTATTTTGGAGTATAATTTATGATGATGGACGGGTTTAGACTTACATCTTATGAGATGTGGGGACACTAAAGACAACACATCAATCATCACAAAATGAATGAAGGCCTGAAGGAGCAATATAATCTAACTCACACCATCAAAGATTAAAGTATGACAAGCCCAAGGTTTACGCTTCTCTTATAACAAGAGGTACTCCTCAAGTCACCAATGCCAAAGAAGTTATAGATATTAATTATAGCAGAAGATACCACTTTATAAAGTGAGGCTGAAGAAACAAGAGATAATATCACTTAAGAAAGAGCAATAGCAAAGCTTGAAGTGTCACAAAATTAACTAGTTGAGGACTCATCAACATGAGCCCTCAAGTTGTATGGAAAATAAAGGAAAGACTAATTATAGTTTTCGTCCATACCAGAACTTCCTATAATTTCATCCCTGAGTGTCACCCACAAACTACAATTTTTTTTCACACTTTCAAGTCATTATTGGAATGGGGGAGAATATATAAGGCATAGGATCTGATGTGGCATTACCGTGGAGTGCCAATCACTCATGGTGAATGAAGATCTCTTGATTTTACCCTTGTCAACATTTGATGTCGTCTCAATACTCAAATGGATAAACAGGACAAAAGAGGTTAGAGTTGGACTTTGAGCACCAAAGAATCTCTCTCCTGATTGGGTCAAAATAGGCTTGACATGCTGCAAATCCTCTTGAAAGAGAGTGATGCCTTTAGGAATGCAAACATAGGTGGTGCATGGCTGTCATCATGCAACACCTATGTCTATTTAATGGGCATGAAGTGGTTGGATTATGTTTTGAACAGATGTTCTGCATTACTTGACAAATATCTCATTCAAAACCTTATCCAAAATCATCAAAAAAGGGGAGGTCAAAGTTTATTTTTTCTAGCTCATACAAATGTGTCTAGACAATTGCATTCAATAGAGGCCACAGACCTAAAAGGCCATCTTAGGGCCCAATTTTTAGTCATGTTAAAAGCTAATAATGGGCTGTCCTTGACTCAAGAAGTGGACTATGTTATCACCCTATAATCTAACTCAAGACCCATTAATATCAAATCATTCAAATATCTCCATTTTTAGAAAATATAAATCAAGAAATATGTATGTGAAATTCTAATAATAAGAATCATATAACTCAACTAGCTCCTATTCAAGTCACACCTTGTTTGTGAAGAAAAAGGATGACACCTAGAGATTCTAGGTGGATTATGATGCATACAACAAAGTAATGAATTCATATACTTTCCTACATTCCAATCATCAAAGAACTCTTTGAAAAATTGTATGATGTAACAATATCCTCAAAATCAGACCTCTGATCTATTACTATCAAATTTGAGTCCAGAAAGATGTTTGGAAAACAACATTTCTCATATATGAAGGATATTATGAGTTTCTTGTGATGTTGTTAGACCTTTCCAATACACGTGATATTCTAAGTAATGATCAATTATATTTTTTAAAAATAATTCTTTAAATGTTCATGTTGATTTTTATTTAATGATATCTTTATTTACAATTTGAACTATGAGACACATGTAGAACACGACGCAAGTGTTTGACACCTTCCACTCTTATCACTTTCATATTAATTTGAAGAATACTCCTTCAAACATGTGAACATGGCCTATTTCAACCATTGGGTATCAATCAATGGAGTGATGGCCAATTAGAATAAGGAGGTTGTACCTGTTCATTGGCTCTCGCCCACCAACCTTTGAGAATTGAGAGCATTTCTGATATTGACCAAATATTCTTTACATTTTCATTACAAACTATAGGGCGCTTATGTGGCCTCTTGATTGTCTCTTAGTTGTTGTATGAAGAGATGACAAATTAATATTATAAAATAGTATTCATATTAAATTAAATCAATTACTTAGAGTAAGTTCAAGTCAATTCCACAAGGAATATTAAAAATCCAATGAGAGTTTTTTGTTCTCTAAACATATATAAAATCAAGTTTAAAAAAAATGAAAGAAACAAAGGAGAGGGAGAGAAGAGATGGTCTATGCTCGATCCTGCAACGAAGAAAATTATTTCATGTCCCTCCCTTGATCAAGGTTCCATTCTCTATCTATAAGAAAGAGTTAAATGATGAAATAGCATAATCTACGGATAATAAAGAAAACATGAGAGGAGCGTGAGGAGGAAGAGATCACAAAGAGAGAAAGGAGAGAGGGGAGGGAGGGGGAGAGAGAGAGAGAGAATAGAGGAGGAAATCACAAAGAGACAAATCACTCTACCGGCAAGTTTAGGAACAAACGATGGGTTTGGAAAAACTAGACAAAATCAAATGTGAAAACAAGAAGATTAGGGGTTGGAGATGGGTTTAGGATTGATTCAACCATATAACATTAAGAAAATGAAAGTAAAATTGATTAAAAATCAAAATCACCCTCTAACATCAAAGATGACGCAAATAAATGAATTCAAAATTTAGGGTGAATCAATAAATTTTTTATGCATATTTCAAATTTAAATGAAATAGTGTTAGTTTTTTTTTGCATGCACCAAGATCAAGAAGGGGGGGTTCAACTGATCCTAATTGAATTTAGGTTCTAATCATTTTTTTTCAAATGGGTATAAGTTATCCTCTCTATTTTCCTTCGTCCTAATTTATAAAATTATAGGCTCTAAGACTTACTAATTTTATATTATTCTTGGATTCCACTAAACCTGATTGTTTGATCACAATAGTTGATTAACAAGATTAGCCGTCATAGAATTTCACTTGAATTTTTTCTCTAGATTCACAGCTCTAGATGACTCACAGCAATTTAACAAGACAACTCCCAAGAATGATAGAATGGCATGCTTGTTCCCACAACAAATATGAAAAGAGTTCACCATGGATTATCTTCTAGAAGTAGATTGGTATTTAATGTCTCGAATATTTGATGAAGAGATAATGATG